GGTTTTCAAGGTGTTTGATGGGGGCGTGGTCAGTGATGATGAGGTAGAACACATGTCTAGAACTTCTCTGCTTGATGATGATGATTACAAAGATTATAATGATGATGATGATGATGACGACGAAGATTCTAAAGATAGTCTGTGTGTGTGTGTGTAGAAGGAGTTCCGTATCCCTGCGGACCAGGGCATAGCGGGTCACGTAGCCATGACAGGACAGGTCCTGAACATTAAGGATGCGTACTCCCACCCTCTGTTCTACCGAGGAGTGGACGACAGCACCGGCTTCAGAACACGCAACATCCTCTGCTTCCCCATCAAGGACGAGAACAATGGTGAGACCTAAACTAACACTACTGGAGTTAACAACTAAACTAACACTACACTGGAGTTAACAACTAAACTAACACTACTGTTGTTAACAACTAAACTAACACTACATTGGAGTAAACAACTAAACTAACACTACTGGAGTTAACAACTAAACTAACACTACTGGAGTTAACAACTAAACTAACACTACACTGGAGTTAACAACTAAACTAACACTACTGGAGTTAACAACTAAACTAACACTACACTGGTGTTAACAACTAAACTAACACTACACTGGAGTTAACAACTAAACTAACACTACACTGGAGTAAACAATTCAATACACAGCACCACCTATGCTGCTCCATTTCTCAAGAGAGAAGAGAGAGAGAGAGAGGAAGAGAGAGATCTCTCGAGCGCTCTCTACTCTCTACGCTCGTTCTCCCCTTCTAGATGGGATTTTGCTTTTTCGTTTCTCTCCCCCCCCCCCCCCCACCCCCCTCTCTCTATTCTCTTCTCTCTCTCTTCTCTATCTCCCTCTGTCTCTCTCTCTCACTCTCTCTTTCTCTTTCTCCGTGACTCTCTCTCTCTCTCCCTCTCTCTGTCTCTCAGAAGTGATTGGGGTGGCTGAGTTGGTCAATAAGACTAATGGACCGTGGTTTAACCGCTTCGATGAGGACCTGGCCACTGCTTTCTCCATCTACTGTGGAATCAGCATTGCACATGTGAGTCAGACACATCACCCAAAGCTACACAAGAACCCCTGATATCTGAACCTCTAGTCATGACGTAGTCACACAGTGTGTTGTAAACAGTAGGATGTTTAGTGCCCTATTGATGTGGTATGGATTTAGTTGTGGTTGACTGCTCTTCTGTATAATAATGTGGTTGACTGACTGGTCTCTCCTGTATAATAATGTGTTGTGGTTGACTGACTGGTCTCTCCTGTATAATAATGTGTTGTGGTTGACTGACTGGTCTCTCCTGTATAATAATGTGGTTATGGTTGACTGACTGGTCTCCCTTGTATAATAATGTGATTGTGGTTGACTGACTGGTCTCCCTTGTATAATAATGTGGTTGTGGTTGACTGACTGGTCTCCCTTGTATAATAATGTGATTGACTGACTGGTCTCTCCTGTATAATAATGTGGTTGTGGTTGACTGACTGGTCTCTCCTGTATAATAATGTGGTTGTGGTTGACTGACTGGTCTATTCTGTATAATAATGTGGTTGACTGACTGGTCTCCCTTGTATAATAATGTGGTTATGGTTGACTGACTGGTCTCCCCTGTATAATAATGTGGTTGACTGACTGGTCTATTCTGTATAATAATGTGGTTGACTGACTGGTCTCCCTTGTATAATAATGTGGTTATGGTTGACTGACTGGTCTCTGTCACGATCGTCTGAAGGATTGGACCAATGCGCAGCGTTGCGAGTGAACATGATGACTTTATTAATCCAAAGAAACCACGAAAAACAACAAAAGACGATACGTGAAGTTCTATACTGAAACACACTAACAACAACACAGAAACAATAACCCACAAAACAAAGGTGAAAACACACAGAATATATATGGCTCCCAATCAGAGATAACGAGCCGACAGCTGACACTCGTTACCTCCGATTGGGAGTCATCGACCAATCACCACATGACACAAACAAAATGAAACTCACCCATACCACACACCACCAAATGAAATACACCCAAACACAAGAAAATGAACAACCCTGGCTCAATATAAACGTCCATAGAGCCAGAGTGTTACAGTACCCCCCCCTAAAGGTGCGAACTCCTGGCTGGACGGCTCTGGCGGATCCTGGCTGGACGGCTCTGGCGGATCCTGGCTAGACGGCTCTGGCGGATCCTGGCTGGACGGCTCTGGCGGATCCTGGCTGGACGGCTCTGGCGGATCCTGGCGGGACGGCTCTGGCGGATCCAGGCTGGACGGCTCTGGCGGATCCCGGCCGGACGGCTCTGGCTGCTCATGGCTGGCTGACGGATCTGGCTGCTCATGGCTGGCTGACGGATCTGGCTGCTCATGGCTGGCTGAAGGATCTGGCTGCTCATGGCTGGCTGACGGATCTGGCTGCTCATGGCTGGCTGACGGATCTGGCTGCTCATGGCTGGCTGACGGATCTGGCTGCTCATGGCTGGCTGACGGATCTGGCTGCTCATGGCTGGCTGACGGATCTGGCTGCTCATGGCTGGCTGACGGATCTGGCTGCTCATGGCTGGCTGACGGATCTGGCTGCTCATGGCTGGCTGACGGGTCTGGCTGCTCATGGCTGGCTGACGGGTCTGGCTGCTCATGGCTGGCTGACGGATCTGGCTGCTCATGGCTGGCTGACGGATCTGGCTGCTCATGGCTGGCTGACGGATCTGGCTGCTCATGGCTGGCTGACGGATCTGGCTGCTCATGGCTGGCTGACGGATCTGGCTGCTCATGGCTGGCTGACGGATCTGGCTGCTCATGGCTGGCTGACGGATCTGGCTGCTCATGGCTGGCTGACAGGTCTGGCTGCTCATGGCTGGCTGACGGGTCTGGCTGCTCATGGCTGGCTGACGGATCTGGCTGCTCATGGCTGGCTGACGGATCTGGCTGCTCATAGCTGGCTGATGGTGCTGGCTGGGAGACTGGCGGTGGAGGCGGACCCCAGCCTCGGATTGCAGTCAACATCTCCAGCAGGGCGGCTCCCATCTGCAGGAGCTGCTCTTCCTGGTCCCGAACCCGAGCTTCCAGTCTAGTATGGGCTGCGTCGGCTCCTGCTGATTCCATAGCAGATGTATGATTCTGTCTGGCGGAAGGCTCTAGCGGCTCCTGTCTGGCGGAAGGCTCTGAAGGCTCATGGCTGACGGACGGCTTTGCAGGCTCAGTACAGACGGGCGGCTTATGCAGCGCTTGGCAAACGGGCAGTTCAGACGCCATAGGGCCGACGGGCAGTTCAGGCGCCGTTGGGCAGACGGCAGACTCTGGCCGACTGGTAACGCACCCCGTAGGATTCGTGCGTGGAGCAGGAACAGGCCGGGCTGGGCTGGCGACGCGCACCTTATCCCTGGTGCGAGTGGCCGGAACAGGCCGGGCCGGGCTGGCGACGCACATCGTGGACCTGGTGCGTGGAGTAGGAACAGACCGGTCCGTACCGGGAACACCCACCACTGGCCCTTAACTGGGGATCAAGAACGGACCGGACCAGACTGGGAACACACTTCAGTCTCTCATGCCGTGCCACAACAACTTCCCTCCTTCCACTCCCCAATGGCTCCCGTACTCCGTTAGCCTTCTCTCCTTTTCTCCCTGTGGCAGCCTCCTGCTGCCCAGCTGCCCAAGCCATGTGCCCCCCCCCCAAAAATTTCTTGGGGTTGCCTCTCTTCCACGGGCTTCCAGCCTCGCCTTCGCGCTGCCTCCTCGTACCACCTCCTCTCGGCTTTGGCTGCCTCCAGCTCTTCACGAGGGAGGCGATATTCTCCCGGTTGTGCCCAAGGATCCTTTCCGTCCAATAACTCTTCCCATGTCCAGACCCTCGGCTCCTGGACACGCTTGTTACGCTGCTTGGTCCTTTTGTGGTGGGTTATTCTGTCATGATCGTCTGAAGGATTGGACCAATGCGCAGCGTTGCGAGTGAACATGATGACTTTATTAATCCAAAGAAACCACGAAAAACAACAAAAGACGATACGTGAAGTTCTATACTGAAACACACTAACAACAACACAGAAACAATAACCCACAAAACAAAGGTGAAAACACACAGAATATATATGGCTCCCAATCAGAGATAACGAGCCGACAGCTGACACTCGTTACCTCCGATTGGGAGTCATCGACCAATCACCACATGACACAAACAAAATGAAACTCACCCATACCACACACCACCAAATGAAATACACCCAAACACAAGAAAATGAACAACCCTGGCTCAATATAAACGTCCATAGAGCCAGAGTGTTACAGTCTCCCCTGTATAATAATGTGGTTGACTGACTGGTCTCCCCTGTATAATAATGTGGTTGTGGTTGACTAACTGGTTTCCCCTGTATAATAATGTGGTTGTGGTTGACTAACTGGTTTCCCCTGTATAATAATGTGGTTGTGGTTGACTGACTGGTCTCTCCTGTATAATAATGTGGTTGACTGACTGGTCTCTCCTGTATAATAATGTGATTGTGGTTGACTGACTGGTCTCTCCTGTATAATAATGTGATTGTGGTTGACTGACTGGTCTCTCCTGTATAATAATGTGGTTGACTGACTGGTCTCTCCTGTATATGAATGTGGTTGTGGTTGACTAACTGGTCTCCCCTGTATAATAATGTGATTGTGGTTGACTGACTGGTCTCTCCTGTATAATAATGTGGTTGACTGACTGGTCTATTCTGTATAATAATCTGGTTGTGGTTGACTGACTGGTCTCTTCTGTATAATAATGTGGTTGTGGTTGACTGACTGGTCTCCCCTGTATAATAATGTGATTGTGGTTGACTGACTGGTCTCTACTGTATAATAATGTGGTTGACTGACTGGTCTATTCTGTATAATAATGTGGTTGTGGTTGACTGACTGGTCTCCCCTGTATAATAATGTGGTTAACTTACTGGTCTCTCCTGTATAATAATGTGGTTGACTGACTGGTCTATTCTGTATAATAATCTGGTTGTGGTTGACTGACTGGTCTCTTCTGTATAATAATGTGGTTGTGGTTGACTGACTGGTCTCCCCTGTATAATAATGTGATTGTGGTTGACTGACTGGTCTCTACTGTATAATAATGTGGTTGACTGACTGGTCTATTCTGTATAATAATCTGGTTGTGGTTGACTGACTGGTCTATTCTGTATAATAATGTGGTTGTGGTTGACTGACTGGTCTCCCCTGTATAATAATGTGGTTAACTTACTGGTCTCTCCTGTATATGAATGTGGTTGTGGTTGACTAACTGGTCTCTTCAGTATAATAATGTGGTTGTCGTTGACTAACTGGTTTCCCCTGTATAATAATGTGGTTGTGGTTGACTGACTGGTCTCTCCTGTATAATAATGTGGTTGACTGACTGGTCTCTCCTGTATATGAATGTGGTTGTGGTTGACTAACTGGTCTCTTCAGTATAATAATGTGGTTGTCGTTGACTAACTGGTTTCCCCTGTATAATAATGTGGTTGTGGTTGACTGACTGGTCTCCCCTGTATAATAATGTGGTTAACTTACTGGTCTCTCCTGTATATGAATGTGGTTGTGGTTGACTAACTGGTCTCTTCAGTATAATAATGTGGTTGTCGTTGACTAACTGGTTTCCCCTGTATAATAATGTGGTTGTGGTTGACTGACTGGTCTCTCCTGTATAATAATGTGGTTGACTGACTGGTCTCTTCTGTATAATAATGTGATTGTGGTTGACTGACTGGTCTCTTCTGTATAATAATGTGGTTGTGGTTGACTGACTGGTCTCCCCTGTATAATAATGTGATTGTGGTTGACTGACTGGTCTCTCCTGTATAATAATGTGGTTGACTGACTGGTCTATTCTGTATAATAATCTGGTTGTGGTTGACTGACTGGTCTATTCTGTATAATAATTTGGTTATGGTTGACTGACTGTCTCTCCTGTATAATAATGTGGCTGTGGTTGACTAACTGGTATCTTCTGTATAATAATGTGGTTGACTGAGAGGTCTCTCCTGTATAATCATGTGGTTGTGGTTGACTGACTGGACTCTTCTGGATAATAATGTGGTTGTGGTTGACTAACTGGTCTCCCTTGTATAATAATGTGGTTGTGGTTGACTGACTGGTCTCTCCTGTATAATAATGTGGTTGACTGACTGGGCTTTCCTGTATATGAATGTGGTTGTGGTTGACTGACTGGTCTCCCCTGTATAATAATGTGGTTATGGTTGACTGACTGGTCTCTCCTGTATAATAATGTGGTTGACTGACTGGTCTCTCCTGTATAATAATGTGGTTGTGGTTGACTGACTGGTCTCTCCTGTATAATAATGTGTTGTGGTTGACTGACTTGTCTCTCCTGTATAATAATGTTGTTGTGGTTGACTGACTGGTCTCTCCTGTATAATAATGTGTTTTGGTTGACTGACTGGTCTCCCCTGTATAATAATGTGGTTGTGGTTATCTGACTGGTCTCTTCTGTATAATAATGTGGTTGTGGTTGACTGACTGGTCTCTCCTGTATAATAATGTGGTTGTGGTTGACTGACTGGTCTCTCCTGTATAATAATGTGGTTGTTCTTGACTAAGCGGTCTCTCCTGTATAATCATGTGGCTGTGGTTGACTAACTGGTCTCTTCAGTATAATAATGTGGTTGTCGTTGACTGACTGGTCTCTCCTGTATAATAATGTGGTTGACTGACTGGTCTCTCCTGTATATGAATGTGGTTTTGGTTGACTGACTGGTCTCTTCTGTATAATAATGTGGTTGTGGTTGACTGACTGGTCTCTTCTGTATAATAATGTGGTTGTGGTTGACTGACTGGTCTCTTCTGTATAATAATGTGGTTGACTGACTGGTCTATTCTGTATAATAATTTGGTTATGGTTGACTGACTGTCTCTCCTGTATAATAATGTGGCTGTGGTTGACTAACTGGTATCTTCTGTATAATAATGTGGTTGACTGAGAGGTCTCTCCTGTATAATCATGTGGTTGTCGTTGACTGACTGGACTCTTCTGGATAATAATGTGGTTGTGGTTGACTAACTGGTCTCCCTTGTATAATAATGTGGTTGTGGTTGACTGACTGGTCTCTCCTGTATAATAATGTGGTTGACTGACTGGGCTTTCCTGTATATGAATGTGGTTGTGGTTGACTGACTGGTCTCCCCTGTATAATAATGTGATTGTGGTTGACTGACTGGTCTCTTCTGTATAATAATGTGGTTGTGGTTGACTGACTGGTCTCCCCTGTATAATAATGTGATTGTGGTTGACTGACTGGTCTCTACTGTATAATAATGTGGTTGACTGACTGTCTCTCCTGTATAATAATGTGGCTGTGGTTGACTAACTGATATCTTCTGTATAATAATGTGGTTGTGGTTGACTGACTGGTCTCTCCTGTATAATAATGTGGTTGACTGACTGGTCTCTCCTGTATAATAATGTGGTTGACTAACTGGGCTCTCCTGTATAATAATGTGATTGTGGTTGACTGACTGGTCTCTACTGTATAATAATGTGGTTGACTGACTGGTATATTCTGTATAATAATGTGGTTGTGGTTGACTAACTGGGCTCTCCTGTATAATAATATGGTTTTGGTTGACTGACTGGTCTCTCCTGTATAATAATGTGATTGTGGTTGACTGACTGGTCTATTCTGTATAATAATTTGGTTATGGTTGACTGACTGTCTCTCCTGTATAATAATGTGGCTGTGGTTGACTAACTGGTATCTTCTGTATAATAATGTGGTTGACTGAGAGGTCTCTCCTGTATAATCATGTGGTTGTGGTTGACTGACTGGACTCTTCTGGATAATAATGTGGTTGTGGTTGACTGACTGGTCTCCCTTGTATAATAATGTGGTTGTGGTTGACTGACTGATCTCTCCTGTATAATAATGTGGTTGACTGACTGGGCTTTCCTGTATATGAATGTGGTTGTGGTTGACTGACTGGTCTCCCCTGTATAATAATGTGATTGTGGTTGACTGACTGGTCTCTCCTGTATAATAATGTGGTTGACTAACTGGTATATTCTGTATAATAATGTGGTTGTGGTTGACTAACTGGGCTCTCCTGTATAATAATGTGGTTTTGGTTGACTGACTGGTCTCTCCTGTATAATAATGTGGTTGTGGTTGACTAACTGGTCTCTCCTGTATAATAATGTGGTTGACTGACTGGGCTTTCCTGTATAATAATGTGGTTGTGGTTGACTAACTGGGCTCTTCTGTATAATAATGTAGTTGTGGTAGACTGACTGGTCTCTCCTGTATAATAATGTGGTTTTGGTTGACTGACTGGTCTCTCCTGTATAATAATGTGGTTGTGGTTGACTGACTGGTCTCTCCTGTATAATAATGTGGTTTTGGTTGACAGACTGGTCTCTTATGTATAATAATGGTGTTGTGGTTGTCTAACCGGTCTCTCCTGTATAATAATGTGGTTGTGGTTGACTGACTTGTCTCTCCTGTATAATAATGTGTTTGTGGTTGACTGACTGGTCTTTCCTGTATAATAATGTGGTTGTGGTTGACTGACTGGTCTCTCCTGTATAATAATGTGGTTGTGGTTGACTGACTGGTCTCTTCTGTATAATAATGTGGTTGTGGTTGACTGACTGGTCTCTCCTGTATAATAATGTGGTTGTGGTTGACTAACTGGTCTCTCCTGTATAATAATGTGGTTGTTGTTGACTGACTAGTCTCTTCTGTATAATAATGTGGTTGTGGTTGACTAACTGGTCTCTCCTGTATACTAATGTGGTTGACTGACTGGTCTCTCCTGTATAATTATGTGGTTGACTGACTGGTCTCTCCTGTATAATAATGTGGTTGACTGACTCGTCTCTCCTGTGTGTATTCAGTCTCTTCTTTATAAGAAGGTCCATGAGGCTCAGTTCAGATCCCACCTGGCCAATGAGATGATGATGTACCACATGAAGGTAAAGCACACACACTAACCCCCCCAACACACACACACACACATCCAGTGCAGTAGTAATGCGTGTGTGTGTGTGTGTGTGTGGTGTGTGTGTGTGTGTGTGGTGGTGGTTTGGTGTGGTGTGTGTGTGTGTGTGTGTGTGAGTGTGTGTTGTGTGTGTGGTGTGTGTGTGTGTGTGTGTGTGTGTGTGTGTGTGGTGTGTGTGTGTGTGTGTGTGTGTGGTGTGTGTGGTGTGTGTGTGTGTCTGTGTGTGTGTGTGTGTGTTGTAGGTATCAGAGCAGGAAGTGGCCCAGCTGTTGGTAACTGGGCTGGAGCCAGTGGATGAGATTCATCCCTTATTCGCTGAGTTCACATACACACCCCGCTCACTACCTGACGACAACACACCCATGGTAAGACAGGCAGACAGATGGAGAGTGTGCATGTACGTATGTGTGTGTTTCAGTGGAAAATGCCGAGGGGTGGACGGCTCATAATAATGGCTGAAACGGAGCGAATGGAATGGCATCAAACCATGTGTTTGATGTATTTGATACCATTCCCCTGATTCCACTCCAGCCATTATCACAAGCCAGTCCTCCCCAATTAAGCTGACACCAACCTCCTGTGGTGTGTTTCCATGCACATCCATAGAGATGTATAGTATCCATAGAGATGTATAGTATCCATAGAGATGTATTGTATCCATAGAGAGGTATAGTATCCATAGAGAGGTATAGTATCCATAGAGATGTATAGTTTCCATAGAGATGTATAGTATCCATAGAGATCTATAGTTTCAATTTCAGATTCAAGTTTTTATGTGCACAAGTACATGCACAAGCATAGTGAATTCCTTTCCTGCAGCTCTAACCCCAACAATGCAGTAACCAATAACAATATTCAGGCACACTGCAAACAGTCTTGTTGTTCCTGCTGTACTGTGTCTAATCTCTGTCTCTCCTGTGTCTCCAGGGTATCCTGAGTATGTTTGAGGACATGGGCTTCATCAACACCTATAAGATTGACCTGCACACTCTGGCCAGGTACCGCCCCTCTCTCTCTCTCTCTCTCTCTCTCTCTCTCTCTCTCTCTCTCTCTCTCTCTCTCTCTCTCTCTCTCTCTCTCTCTCTCTCTCTCTCTCTTTCTCTCTGTCCAATCACTGTTTGTTTATGATATGGTTGCTATGGTGATGAAGTGGTTGTTATGGTGATTGATTGTGTGGTTGTCATGGTTGCAGGTTCTGTCTGATGGTGAAGAAGGGTTACAGAGATCCTCCCTATCACAACTGGACTCACGCCTTCTCAGTCTCTCACTTCTGTTATCTGCTCTACAAGAACCTGGGCCTGGCCAATTACCTCGAGTTAGTAGAAACCCCTTAAACCCTACATACTATACCATATACCCTAACCCTACATACTACACCCTACACCAGGGGTCCGCAATTACAGTGCATTCGGAAAGTATTCAGACCCCTTGACTTTTTCCACATTTTGTTACGTTACAGCCTTATTCTAAAATGGATTAAATTGTTTTATCCTCCTCATCAATTTACACACAATACCCCATAATGACAAAGCAAAAACAGGTTTTTAGAAATGTTTGCAAATACATTAAAAAATTAAAAACGGAAATTTCACATTATTAGGGGAGTTTCTTCCATTCTTCTCTGCAGATCCTCTCAAGCTCTGTCAGGTTGGATGGGGAGCGTCTCTGCCAGAGATGTTCGATCGGGTTCAATTCCAGGCTCTGGCTGGGCCACTCAAGGACATTCAGAGACTTGTCCGGAAGCCACTCCTGCGTTGTCTTGGCTGTGTGCTTAGGGTCGTTGTCCTGTTGGAAGGTGAACCTTCGCCCCAGTCTGAGGTCCTGAGTGCTCTGGAGCAGGTTTTCATCAAGGATCTCTCGGTACTTTGCTCCGTTCATCTTTCCCTCGATTCTGACTAGTCTCCCAGTCCCTGCCGCTGAAAAACATCCCCACAGCATGATGCTGCCACCACCATGCTTCACCGTAGGGATGGTGCCAGGTTTCCTCCAGACGTGACGCTTGGCATTCAGGCCAAAGAGTTCAATCTTGGTTTCATCAGTCCTTTAGGTGCCTTTTGGCAAACTCCAAGCGGGCTGTCATGTGCCTTTTACTGAGGAGTGGCTTCTGTCTGGCCACTCTACCATAAAGGCCAGAATGGTGGAGTGCTGCAGAGATGGTTGTCCTTCTGGAAGGTTCTTCCATCTCCACAGAGGAACTCTGGAGCTCTGTCAGAGTGACCATGGGGTTCTTGGTCACCTCCCTGACCAAGGCCCTTCTCCCCCGATTGCTCAGTTTGGCCGGGCGGCCAGCTCTAGGAAGTGTCTTGGTGGTTCCAAACTTCTTCCATTTAAGAATGATGGAGGCCACTGTGTTCTTGGGGACTTTCAACGCTGCAGAAATGTTTTGGTACCCTTCCCCAGATCTGTGCCACGACACAATCCTGTCTCGGAGCTCTACGGACAATTCCTTCGACCTCATGGCTTGGTTTTTGCTCTGACATGCACTGTCAACTGTGGGACCTTATATAGACAGGTGTGTGCCTTTCCAAATCATGTCCAATCAATTGAATTTACCACAGTTGGACTCCAATCTCAAGGATGATCAATGGAAACAGGATGCACCTGAGCTCAATTTCGAGTCTCATAGCAAAGGGTCTGAATACTTACGTAAATAAGGTATTTCTGTTTTTTATTTTTAATAAATGTGCAAAAATGTCTAAAAACCTGTTTTCGCTTTGTCATTATGGGGTATTGTGTGTAGAGTGATGAAGAAAAAAAAGGAGTTAGTAGAAACCCCTTAAACCCTGGAGTATATACCATAACAGTACACACTACACCCTACCTGCTCTGAAAGAACCTGGGCCTGGCCAACTACCTCGAGCTAGTAGAAACCCTGGCACCCTTTATCCTATAATCTACATACCACATTTACATTTTAGTTATTTAGCAGACGCTCTTATCCAGAGCGACTTACAGTTAGTGAGTGCATACATATTCATACTGCCCCCCCGTGGGAATCGAACCCACAACCCTGGCGTTGCAAGCGCCGTGCTCTACCAACTGAGCTACACGGGACCTATAACCATACACACTATACTTTAAACCCCTGCACCCTGCACCCTATACACTAACCTCCTACCCCGCCCGCTCTCTCTGTAGGAATATAGAGATCTTTGCTCTCTTTGTCTCCTGTATGTGTCATGACCTGGATCACCGTGGGACTAACAACTCCTTTCAAGTGGCCTCGGTAAGACTGCTCAAACACACACACACACACACACACAACCTATAACAGTCTTGGGTATCCTGTTAACACAACACACGCACACACACACACACACACACACTCTCAAATGCACACATATATGTAGGCACAGCCTTGATAAGACCCCTCCAAACACACACACACAGGTATAGCACCGGTAACACTTGTCGAACACACAGTAGGAAAATTCAGGGAAAGACTGACTGTGGTTAGACAAGAGTAGTACACTTCACTTCAGTGTACATAGAGCGCAGACTGAGAGGTGGTATATCTATGTAATAACGTGTTCTGTCTTCTTCCTCTACAGCAATCTGTCCTGGCTGCCCTCTACAGCTCAGAGGGCTCTGTGATGGAGGTGAACACAAACATTTGTGCGCACACACGCACACACACACGTGCACACACGTGCAAGTGGCCATCCTTCAACCTCCTATCCCATAATAACCTGTGTGTGTTTCCACAGCGACACCACTTTGCCCAAGCCATAGCCATTCTGAACACCCACGGCTGCAACATCTTCGACAAGTTCTCCAGAAAGGTCAGTTTCTCTCCAGTCTGGGATCCCACACTGACTGTCTCCTGACCCAGGACACCCAGGACTTTTATAGGGTGTGTGTGTGTGTGTGTGTGTGTGTGTGTGTGTGTGTGTGTGTGTAGTATTAACAGGACACCCAGGACTGTTATGGGTTGTGTGTGTGTTGTGTTAACAGCACTGTAACGGAAAATTAATTTATACGGTAATTTTGGGTATTATCAACAGTAAAATACTCTGAAACATTTTACTGCAGCATACTGTAAATTATGCTGCATTGTGGGAAAATGTTGAGGGTGGGGAAATAATTGCTGTATTTCGATTGGTACTGTCATTCCATCCCACAGAATACAGTACCGTACCGTATCTTTGGAGCGCCAAAAACCTTTGACCTTTGGGTGCATGGTATTGTTGTTGCTGGCTCATTAACATATTTGGAGGCGTGCCTTGTAAAAGGCTATATTTGTTGCACCCCTGAGTGAGAACTCCTATCTGTTTATAGTGTTTATAGTGCCCCATCAATTTAAACTGTATAGGGGACAGATTGGAGTGGCAGCAAGTCTTATACCTGAAATGGGTGAACATTTTGCAATGTCCTTTTGGTCTGTTTTCCACTGTAGTCGCTGCCAGTTTGGAAGCTTTTGTTTAAGCCTCTAAAAGTGTAAGTGATATAAAACACCAAATATTCATTAATACACTGTAATGTGTAAACATTTTACCTAGCAGCCAACCTGCTTGCACCATTCCCTTGTAATTACAGTAAAATACTGTGAAATACAATTAATTTAATCCATTCATTTATTCATTCTGATTGCGGCAGCATTTACTTCATTTCACAGTACTTGCTTTGATACCGTATTTAGATTACAGTATGTATACTGTAATATGAAATACAGAATTTTACCTGCCACTAAGCTGCCTGTGAGATACTGTCAAATTCACGGACACCCAGGACTGTTATCGGTTGTGTGTTGTATGTTAACAGGACACCCAGGACTGTTATCGGTTGTGTGTTGTGTGTTAACAGGACACCCAGGATTGTTATAGGTTGTGTGTGTGTGTGTGTGCGTGTGTTGTGTTAACTCGTGTGTGTGTGGTTGTCAGGACTACCAGAGGATGTTGGACCTGATGAGAGATATCATCCTGGCCACTGACCTGGCTCACCATCTCCGCATCTTCCCCGACCTGCAAAGGATGGCTGATGGTAAGGCAGTGTGTGTGTGTGTGTGTGTGTGTGTATGTGTGTGTGTGTGTGTGTATGTGTGCGTATTTGTGAGTATAATAGTCTTCCATTCTCGCTCCCTTTCTGTTTGTATGTGTGTGTGTGTGTGTGTATGTCTGTGTGTGTGTGTATGTCTGTGTGTCTGTCTGTGTGTGCGTGTATGTGTGTGTGTGTGTGTGTGTGTGTGTGTGTGTGTGTGTGTGTGTGTGTGTGTGTGTGTGTGTGTGTGTGTGTGTGTGTGTGTGTGTGTGTGTGTGTGTGTGTGTGTGTGTGTGTGTGTGTGTGTGTGTGTGTGTGTGTGTGCGTGCGCGCTAGCTGGCTACAACCCCAAGAATCAGACCCACCGTTCTCTGCTGCTGTGCCTGCTGATGACATCATGCGACCTGTCGGACCAGACCAAGGGCTGGAAGACCACCCGCAAGATCGCTGTGAGGAACCCTAACGTCTACTCCTAACCCTCAACCCTAAAGTTAACACTAACCCTAACCCTAGCCTCAACCACAACCCTAACCCAAACCCAAAAACTAACCCTAGCTTCATGTCCACATCCCGGTTCAACCCTAACCCCAGACCCTAGTTGACCTTTGACCCTAAACCTCTTTATCTCCTCTGTGTATTCAGGAGCTGATCTATAAAGAGTTCTTCTCCCAGGGGGATCTGGTATGTGTGCTACACTGTATTCGTGTATGTGTGTGTGTGTGTGTGTGTGTGTGCGTGTGTTGGGGGGTGGGTGTGAGGGTGTATCTGACGTGTGTAACTTCTGTGTGTGTGTGTGTGTAGGAAAAGGCTATGGGGAACCGTCCCAGTGAGATGATGGACAGAGAGAAGGCCTACATCCCAGAGCTACAGATCAGCTTCATGGAACACATCGCTATGCCCATCTACAAGTAAGAGCCAATCACAACACAGCGTTTATCACTACTGACCCAATCACAACACAGCGTTTATCACTACTGACCCAATCACAACAAAGCGTTTATCACTACTGACCCAATCACAAAACAGCCCACAGCACTTGCACCACCTAATGTTGTGTCCCCCGCCCCTGTCCCTTGATAGGCTGCTGTCAGAGCTGTTACCAGGGGCAACCGAGCTGTATGAGCGTGTAGCGACCAATCGAGTGCAGTGGACCAAAGTCTCCCACAAGTTCACCGTCCGTGGGTTGCCTAGCAACAATAGCCTCGACTTCCTGGACGAAGAGTATGAGCTGCTGCAATCCCAGGGTGCACTGGGGGATGACAGCCACTGCGATGACACCCACTGCCTCAACGGTTGCCTGGATGATGGGGGGAGGGGCCAGTGACCACACCGACCAATGGGAGTGGAGCAAGTGGTATCTCTAGGCCAATAGAAACATAAGGAAACAATTCCCTTTTTATGTCCTCAGGCGGAGAGGGCGGGACGCTGAGACAGTTTGACATTTGACCGACAGCTGTCAATCTCGGATGCTGAGCAAGATGGAGTGAACGCAGGAGGGACGATTCAGAAGAATAATTTCAGAGGAGTCGATTCAGACTAGTCGATTCAGACGATTCCTGTAGATGATAAATGTGACTGAACTCCTGTGAGGAAAGCAGAGTGTCTGGAAATGATCGTTTTCACAACGAGGTCACCATTCCTATTCTTCTGAGTTTCTATTTTAGACACAGGCTCACAGACCCCTGACAGATCCAGACCCATGTCATAACACATATCTTTCTCGGTTAACAGAAAGTTGTGCAGTACGAAGGACAGTTAAGGAATCTGACGCTGTTGCGATCATCCGAATCCCTCCCACCAGCCCACACACACCCTGATCAGCTGCTATGTCACTCACATAACTGCTTATGTATGCTGTATGTAGCCTACATCTCGTGTGTTTCTCCCTTTCTCTCAGCCACTATTGGATTTATTTTTAATATCTTAGGCATCATGTAAGTCTCTAGTTTGCCAAATATTGTATCTGTTAGTATATATGGAGCCCATTCATGGCCACACGATGCCAAGTGGTTGTTGAGGGATAAAACTATCTGCCGTGTCAGGTAATGTGAGTGTAAGTTCACTCTTTTGGAGATGGGGACCGTTTGACAGTCAATGATCACTGGTCAGTGCTATCCTCATTAGCACACACCCACACACCACCACAACCACCATTACAACCTTCATAACAAGAGCCTCTAGATTCCAATTTTTTTGGTTTTTGTTTCTCTCTCTCTCTCTTTCTCTCTTTCTCTCTCTCTCTCTCTCTATATATATATATATATATATATATATATATATATATATATATATATATATACTGTATATATATAAATCCCCTTGAAACACATTTAATAGAGTGCAAGTGAAGCCCTTTAAATGATCCAGTGTCATCATACCTGTGTGTGTGTGTGTGTGTGTGTGTGTGTGCGTGCGTGGACTGTGAGTGTGTGTTGTACGGATCTGCCTTACCGTGCATCTATGCTGCCTTTCTCAGAGCTTATAATATTGGACCATAGATACACACAGACACAGGCCATACAGTTTCTCCAGTGTGTTGATGAAGAGCTGGACAGTGGTTATCAGTGTTTGTTAGAGAGAGAGAGAGAGTTCACTGTCTCAGGAGTTTAACACACACTACGATTCAACTCCAATCAATCAGTCACCTAAATGTTAAACTAATGTGTGAAACTACTGCTCAGTGAAGCCGGAGCAACAACTCACCTTCAGCACGTCATTTGTGTTTGTCAGGGCTTACGTACTGTATATGTAGAAGAATTAAGGCCATACATGTCAATATATTTCTTAAGAAGGGCATATAAATGAATATATTTGTTAGATGAATGAACTGGTGGTATTGGTTTGGCGACTGGGGCGTACAGGTGAATATATTTGTTAGGTGAGTGGGGTATAGGTGAATTTATGAATGGACTGCATATGCTGTAAGTTAATATATTTGGTAGATGATTCGCCCTCAGGATGTCTGTGTGTGTGACTTCATGTTGTTGTACAGATTTTAACTATTCTAATGACATTCAGGTAGGCTGGCGATCTGAAGCCTCTCTCTAGTGCTGTATGTCTGTGACCTCCGACCCCTGATGAACACAGATTAACTTCCTCTTTTCCCCTGTTGTTGTTGTTTTCCTCCCTACCATTCGAGATCTGCCTTCTTCATGTGCAATATGTGTGTTGATGATGATGATGTTGATGATGATGCAGAAACTCTGATGTAAATACAGTCTGATCTTAAAATTATTACTTTGGACAGTTTTCTCTCATAACTCTGTTTTCGTTAGCGTGTTCATGTCAGCGAGTCAGGGCTCCATCATGTGCCAATCCCAGTCTCCATGGAAACACAGGATTCTTACCTGTGATGTAATGGCATAGGATATATATATAAATGCTGTAAATAACAGTTTATGAAGTGTTACTTGATTCTATGTAATTATTATTACAATGAGGACTATTTTAATTATTTCATGTTATTTGCTGTGGTTGTAGTTTAATCATCTCGTTCTCTCATTTTCATTGTGTTATTGAAGGGCCCAAAATCCGTAGGGCTACAGCGCAAACAGAGAGGGATAAAACCAAAATGCTACTTCAACATAAAAGTGATACTAATTCTGACAACTGAAACAAGACTGAAGTTGAGGAAATCTTTTGTTTTTGTTGTAGAAGGTGTAGACCAGTGGTGGTCTGTGTGTGTGTTCTCTAAATGATATATAGATAGGCTACTAGAGAGTGCAGGTAGGACCTTCTGGAAAGAGAACAAAAAATATGACTTTTTCTTGGAATAAATTTGGTTAAAGGAGAGCTGGTGTCTGCTCAATTTCATGTTCCATACCATCATACAGTATTGGCTACACAACCACACACACTAACACACCAACACACACACACAATAACACACCAGCATACATACATACACAAACAAATACAATCTCAACATATTTAGGCATTGTTTTTATTTGTTATTGTTTGGTGAAGTAGTCAGCTTGATGGAAGTCCTCTTGACATGTCTGTAAATGTTAGACCTAGGCTTCATTATGAGGTATTAGGGCCGCCTTTACAGCGTCGTAATGAACCTGGCTATAAAATCAGGGACCAGAGCATTTAGTGGCATATTGATGCAACTACAGATATCAAACACTGGGATGCTGATACTTACTGACAAAGCTGAATATTGACCAGGATGCAGCTCAAAAACTAATCTCGCCCATGTGACCAGTGACGGACCTCGGGTCATGACCTGCGGCCCACGGTGTCTGAGCACTCGCTTAACTGGTCAAGACTCTCCTCCGTCCTGGTGGACAAGATCCGCGAGACCTGCGGCAATGTGTTAGAAGACGAGGATGGGCAACTCATTACTACACTTGTCCGCCGCCAGCGACCTCCTGGCAGATAGATGAAATCAAAGGCCTGCCGGAACGGTTGCGCCCCGGATGATTCAAAGACAAGGTGCTGCTGTTGACCAATGGACACGAGGATAGCAAGGATTCTTGGCACCCGCAGGGAGACGCTATGGATGGGGCAGAGATGCACCAGTCGCCTGAGCCGGTTGTGGACCTGATAGAACAGTTTACACACACCAAGGACCTGTATGTTATGGAAAACGCAGAGCTTCTGAAAGCCCACGAGATAGCCAAGGCGAACAAGGTTCTTCATAAAGTAAACATTGAGCTGAAGAACCTGGTGAAAGGCCTGAGGAACGCCATAGAAGACATGGAAACCCTGAATGACAGGCTTGAGGAGCTGCATAAAGCCCTGGATGAGCGCACCAGCAAAACCGCAGGCTAGTCAAGCAGCTGGAACAGCAGAATGATGCCTTCGGGGATAAGATAGAAATTCTGAACCGTGATCTGTCCGTCCATAAGCACAAGAAAGATGAGGTTAAGGTGAAGATGCGTGACCTGAACCACTGTATGGGCCTGATGCAATCCCAAATCGATGAGGACCAAATTACTCTTCTTCACCGGAAGGAGTTGAACCAGAGGAAAACGTCCTACATCAAGAAGATGGAAAAGCTCCATGGTTGAAAGCACATCCCACGTCCTGGCGTTTCGGGAGAGGGTGAAGCTGTAATAAATAGACCATAGCAGGAGAGGATATACATGCAGTATTCCATTTACCACACTACAATCTCAGGGGTGTAGATGCAAGATGGTCGAGTCAAGCCATTCTGTCGGGTGCTGATGTGACCCCACATTATGAGAAATACATTTTTTTAAATGTTAACAGGTGGCAGGAGATATCTTTTTTCAAATATACAATTGATGTCGGAAGTTTACATACACTTAGGTTGGAGTCATTAAAACTCATTTTTCAACCACTCCACAAATTTCTTGTTAAGAAACTATAGTTTTGGCAAGTCGGTTAGGACATCTACTTTGTGCATGACAAGTAATTTTTCCAACAATTGTTTACAGACAGATTATTTCACTTATAATTCATTGTATCACAATTCCAGTGGGTCAGAAGTTTACATACACGAAAGTGACTGTGCCTTTAAACAGCTTGGAAAATTCCAGAAAATGATGTCATGGCTTTAGAAGCTTCTGATAGACTAATTGACATAATTTGAGTCAATTGGAGGTGTACCTGTGGATATATTTCAAGGCCTACCTTCAAACTCAGTGCCTCTTTGCTTTACAACATGGGAAAATCAAAAGAAATCAGCCAAGACCTCAGAAAAAAATGGTAGACCTCCACAAGTCTGGTTCATCCTTGGGAGCAATTTCCAAACGCCTGAAGGTACCGCGTTCATCTGTACAAACAATAGTACGCAAATATAAACACCATGGGACCACGCAGCCGTCATACCGCTCAGGAAGGAGACGCGTTCTGTCTCCTAGAGATGAACATACTTTGGTGCGAAAAGTGCAAATCAATCCCAGAACAACAGCAAAGGACCTTGTGAAGATGCTGGAGGAAACAGGTACAGAAGTATCTATATCCACAGTAAAACTAGTTCTATATCAACATAACCTGAAAGGCCGCTCAGCAAGGAAGAAGCCACTGCTCCAAAACCGCCATAAAAAAGCCAGACTACGGTTTGCAACTGCACATGGGGACAAAGATCGTACTTTTTGGAGAAATGTCCTCTGGTCTGATGAAACAAAAATAGAACTGTTTGGCCATAATGACCAAAGCTATGTTTGGTGGAAAAAGGGTGTCGCTTGCAAGCCGAAGAACACCATCCCAACCGTGAAGCACGGGGGTGGCAGCATCATGCTGTGGGGGTGCTTTGCTGCAGGAGGGACTGGTGCACTTCACAAAATAGATGGCATCATGAGGAAGGAAAATGATGTGGATATATTGAAGCAACATCTCAAGACATCAGTCAGGAAGTTAAAGCTTGGTCGCAAATGGGTCTTCCAAATGGACAATGACCCCAAGCATACTTCCAAAGTTGTGGCAAAATGGCTTAAGGACAACAAAGTCAAGGTATTGGAGTGGCCATCACAAAGCCCTGACCTCAATCCTGTAAAAAATGTGTGTGGGCAGAACTGAAAAAGCTTGTGCGAGCAAGGAGGCCTACAAACCTGACTCAGTTACACCAGCTCTGTCAGGAGGAATGGGCCAAAATTCACCCAACTTATTGTGGGAAGCTTGTGGAAGGCTACCCGAAACATTTGACCCAAGTTAAACAATTTAAAGGCAATGCTACCAAATACTAATTGAGTGTATGTAAACTTCTGACCCACTGGGAATGTGATGAAAGAAATAAAGCTGAAATAAATCATTCTCTCTACTGTTATTCTGATATTTCACATTCTTAAAATAAAGTGGTGATCCTAACTGACCTAAAACAGGGAATTTATACTAGGATTAAATGTCAGGAATTGTGAAAAACTGAGTTCCAGAAGGCTGAAAAACAAAATACCGCAGGGAAAGGGTCATTATTCATGTCAAGGAAAGTGTCAACACCTGAAAATAAATAGTTTATTTCAGAATATTTGATATACAAGTTACACAAGCCGTAATTGTAGAAATATATATTTTTTAATTGTTGGTCCAAGGAAACAACCCTAAGCCTCAAAGCACATACACACACACAGAGAGAGAGCGAGACCGCACCTTTAGGGAAGTCCTAAGGCTTCCCAACCCACAGCAACACACTCCCCGTTAGTTCCCTACAATGTGTCTTAATCTCAGGGAGTCATTGCAGAGCAGAGGTTTTACATCATTTAACACACATACAGTGAGGGAAAAAAGTATTTGATCCCCTGCTGATTTTGTACGTTTGCCCACTGACAAAGACATGATCAGTCTATTTTTTTATTTTTTTATTTTTATTTGAACAGTGAGAGACAGAATAACAACAAAAAAATCCAGAACAACGCATGTCAAAAAAGTTATAAATTGATTTGCATTTTAATGAGGGAAATAAGTATTTGACCCCTCTGCAAAACATGACTTAGTACTTGGTGGCAAAACCCTTGTTGGCAATCACAGAGGTCAGACGTTTCTTGTAGTTGGCCACCAGGTTTGCACACATCTCAGGAGGGATTTTGTCCCACTCCTCTTTGCAGATCTTCTCCAAGTCATTAAGGTTTCGAAGCTGACGTTTGGCAACTCAAACCTTCAGCTCCCTCCACAGATTTTCTATGGGATTAAGGTCTGGAGACTGGCTAGGCCACTCCAGGACCTTAATGTGCTTCTTCTTGAGCCACTTCTTTGTTGCCTTGGCCATGTGTTTTGGGTCATTGTCATGCTGGAATACCCATCCATGACCCATTTTCAATGCCCTGGTTGAGGGAAGGAGGTTCTCACCCAAGATTTGACGGTACATGGCCCCGTCCATTGTCCCTTTGATGCGGTGAAGTTGTCCCGATGGTCTTGTAGCCCATTCCAGCCTTGTGTAGGTCTACAATCTTGTCCCTCACATCCTTGGAGAGCTCTTTGGTCTTGGCCATGGTGGAGAGTTTGGAATCTGATTGATTGATTGCTTCTGTGGACAGGTGTCTTTTATACAGGTAACAAACTGAGATTAGGGGCACTCCCTTTAAGAGTGTGCTCCTAATCTCAGCTCATTACCTGTACAAAAGACACCTGGGAGCCAGAAATCTTTCTGATTGAGAGGGGGTCAAATACTTATTTCCCTCATTAAAATGCAAATCAATTAATAAAAAATTTTACATACGTTTTTCTGGATTTTGTTGTTGTTATTCTGTCTCTCACTGTTCAAATAAACCTACCATTAAAATTATAGACTGATCATGTCTTTGTCAGTGGGCAAACGTACAAAATCAGCAGGGGATCAAATACTTTTTTTCCTCACTGTAACTACACACACAATTCTATTTCTGTGAGCTGAGGTTTGCAGTGGAACACAGTGAACAGATTTATACAATAACACACACCCTGTTAAACCCCTGTTAGCCAATCGATAGAGGAAGCAGATGTGTGCTGGACAGTGCATTCTGTACACACATCAGGAGTGTTCTCTCTCTGCAGAGAGTCTGTAGTATGTCACTGATATACTGCTCCCCCAAAGACATCAGAAATACATCATTACCCCGCCTCTCTACACCACAATGTTCGTGTAAGTCATTCATCAGCATCCTCTTCTAAAATGTATTTGGATAGGCCTGGCATCATTCCTCTTCCCCACACAACGACACCCATGGGAAGGCCATTAGAGAAGTTCAGGTTGATCAAGTCTGATCTCCAGCATCATGGCCCAGTTGCTGTTGTGGTCTGGTGAGTAATAGTGTCTCAGTCACGTTAGTGAGGGTTGGTCCTGTTGTGTTGTGGTCAGTAGCTCCATTGTGGTTGGTCCTGTTGTGTTGTGGTCAGTAGCTCCATTGTGGTTGGTCCTGCAGTGACCAACCACAGTGACCTCGTGTCCCTGAGCAGTTAGACTTTTCTTGCTGCGGTCGCCCGGTCGACCCTCGGACCGGCCTCAGGCGAGCCCAGAGTGAACTGTGGAGTGGTTCACTGTGGTTGGTCACGACAGAGAGATAAGGGAGGCGGACAGAGGTGAGTGCGATAGAGAGATAGCTAGAGAGAGCCGCAGAGAGAGCGAGAGAGAGGGCGAGAGATGAAGGCGTGCGACGCCGAGAAAGAGGGAGAGAGAGGACAAGGGAGAGAGAGAGAGAGATAGAGAGGATGAAGAAACTTCGTTAGTCACATATGTATGGTTTTGTATATATATATATATATATATATATATATATATATATATATATAAATATATTTGTGTTTGTATATGTGTTGGAGGCAAAACCGCAGTTAAACAGTGCTTAGTCATCAAACTGTGTGTGTGTGTGTGTGTGTGTGTGTGTGTGTGTGTGTGTTTGTACCTGTGTGTACCTGTGCAGCTTGCTGATCTGCTCTCCTTTTCTCTCCATCCTCCTGAATAGAGTCTCCTGTTCTCTCTCCACCCCCCTCCTCTCCCGCTCACACACACACACACACACACACACGCCTCAGCCTGCAGCACCAACTCCTGCTGCTCATTGAAACACACAACTGAGCTAGCTATTCATGCTGAAACAACATAGTTATAATACACTTCTCCAGAGTGTGTGTGTGTACCTGGTTGGCATGGTCCTGTGTGTGTGTACCTGGTTGGCATGGTCCTGTGTGTGTGTACCTGGTTGGCATGGTCCTGTGTGTGTGTGTGTGTGTGTGTTTGTGTGTGTGCCTCATTGGGCTGGTCCTGGACCAGTTTCCTCTGGTGTTCTTCTTCCAGCAGTTTCAGCTCCAACTCACGAATCTTCCTCTGAAACATACACACACACACACACACACACACACACACACACACACACACACACACACACACACACACACACACACACACACACACATACAGACCCACCAAATCCTAGTCGGGGTGAAAATGTGTGTGTACCTCTGGTATTCCTGCTCCAGTAAATCCAGCTAATCTAACTGGGCCTGGTGTGTGGAGTCAGGGGCGGGAGCAGCTGACCTGGTCATCTCCAGGAAAACCTGAAAGGGTCACTATGGTAACTGTGTTTTACCGGAAGTATCACACATACAGCAAGAGATCTTAACTTGGCTAACCTACGGTAACTACCTGTCGTTAGCCTGTCTCTCTGGGTTAGCATAGATAATGCTAGATAAGGCTAGCTGAGGCGTATGCTAACCTGGCGTTTGAGCAGGGTGGTTCTGTCAGCCTCTGCGTCGTGGACTATCTTCCTCATGTACTCCGGGTGTCTGTCCAACAGCTTATAGCGAGACTCTGCCGCAGCCAGCTGAGTCACCAACACTTAGGGGACTGAGAGGGAGAGAGAAACAGAGAGAGAGAGGGTGAGACAGAGAAACACAGAGAGAGTGAGAGAGAGAGAAAGAGAGAGGGTGAGACAGAGAGAGAGACACAGAGATATAGAGCGTGTGAGACAGAGGGCAGAAAGAGTACCTGTTTATCTCAAACATAACACAGTTATATATTTTGGAACATTATCATGTCGCTCACCTTGGTTGGGTTCTGACTGGTTGCTAGTCTGTTTCCCTCTGAGTGTGTGTGTCTGTGTGTTTGTGTGCGACTCTCAGTGTGTGTCTCTCTCTTTAGGTCAGTGTGTGTCTCTCTCTTTAGGTCAGTGTGTGTCTCTCTCTTTAGGTCAGTGTGTGTCTCTCTCTTTAGGTCAGTGTGTGTCTCTCTCTTTAGGTCAGTGTGTGTCTCTCTCTTTAGGTCAGTGTGTGTCTCTTTAGGTCAGTGTGTGTCTCTCTCTTTAGGTCAGTGTGTGTCTCTTTAGGTCAGTGTGTGTCTCTCTCTTTAGGTCAGTGTGTGGTCTCTCTCTTTAGGTCAGTGTGTGTCTCTTTAGGTCAGTGTGTGTCTTCTTTAGGTCAGTGTGTGTCTCTCTCTTTAGGTCAGTGTGTGTCTCTCTCTTTAGGTCAGTGTGTGTCTCTTTAGGTCAGTGTGTGTCTCTCTCTTTAGGTCAGTGTGTGTCTCTTTAGGTCAGTGTGTGTCTCTCTCTTTAGGTCAGGTTGTGTGTCTCTTTAGGTCAGTGTGTGTCTCTTCTCTTAGGTTCAGTGTGGTGTGTCTCTCTTTAGGTCAGTGTGTGTCTCTTTAGGTCAGTGGTGTCTCTTTAGGTAAGTGTGTGTTGTGTCTCTCAGTGTGGTGTTTCTTTAGGTCAGTGTGTGTCTCTTTAGGTCAGTGTGTGTCTCTTTAGGTCAGTGTGTGTGTGTCTCTAGGTTAGTGTGTGTGTCTCTTTAGGTCAGTGTGTGTGTGTCTCTCAGTGTGTGTGTGTCTCTTTAGGTCAGTGTGTGTGTGTCTCTCAGTGTGTGCGAGGTCTCTTTCTCCAGGCTGTGTAGACTCCACTCTGCCTCTTTCCAACTCCAGCTTCCTGATCTTATCCTGTAGGTTCATCAGAGCAGACAGGATCGCTACACACACACACACACACACACACACACTATAATCCCCTTTGAGGATAAATATTGTACCATCATATCTTGTCTTATCAGTTATCACACACACTGAGTTAAACCTGCAACATGCAGAAATCTCTCTGCCATTTCATGATTGCTAAAATTCTAAATAGTTCACCTAATTTCAGTTTATGTGACAAAACAAGCAATAATTAGAGTAGGGAATCATTGTACCATCTAAACCGCTGTGAAATATATTTTGAAAAACCAAAAATATTGTATTTTCAGCTGTTTGAAGCTGGTGTTCAAAACCGAAAGTAAAAGACTCATAAACTAAACTTAAGCACGGGAAGCATAGAAACAGAGCACGTAGAACAGATCTACCGCTTCTTAGACTGGCTTTCAATGAGAATCTATAACTCACATTTCAAAAAAAGTTACATATTGCTGCTTTAAAGTTGTTATTCTCCACCAGTCATTCATGAGTAAAAACTTATCAGCAAGAACTTCACTCAGCCACTCAGAGGAGTATAAGTGATGAGTAGACAGGGACGGAAGGATGGGCGAAGGTAGAGAGAGATGATAATATCAGTGTTAGAGGCGGTAATATCACAGCGGGGATCGAGAGATAGCGTTTAGCCTCTTAATAGGCTGTGTCACGCACCGGCAGAGTGGGGTCTTGTGTCACCTGCTGTAGCCATGGCGACCAGCCTCACCCACACAAAGACAATGGAAACTGTCTGTCTCTCTCTCGCACACACACAATGTAGTTCCAACAGCAGTGCAGGTAGTGCCTGGTTACCTGCACTGCTACTTTCTGAGAATGACTTGCTGGGCAGCGTCTGGCAGCGTATGTGTGTGTGTTTTGCGAGGTGTGTGTAAGAGGGTCGAGTGGTGTTGATGGAGGGTCGGTCTGCTGGGTAGCCTTTGTAGGAGGGTAGAGGCAGACTGTCAGACATCCCCACTCCAGCAGAGCGTTCCTGCAGACAGACAGACAACCACACTCTCTAACACCATGATATTACTGCCTCTAACACTGATATTATTATTATTATTATTATTATTACAAAACCAGACACTACAAACTGTGACCCATCCTAATGATGGATTCAATTCTGCAGGACTGTCCCCCAAAACACAAGCCTCTACATCTCCAGTGGAATTCTCTGGTACACAGCTCAGCTGCTCTGACGTTTAGCGATGTGTTTGTTCAGTGTTGTACAGAAAGGCTGACTATGGTCACTCACTTTAACCACAACATTTTGGGCTAGCTCTTAGCATCAAGCAAAATTAGCTAGCTAGCTAAGTAAAAAAGAAAACATGCAAGAAGCTGAGTGTGTCAAATGGTTAGCTTGCTAGCTAGTGCTGAAAAACACCTAGTTAGATATGAAGCAAATATGCAATTTACAATAGCTAACGTTAGCTAAATTTCAATCCATTCAAATGCAGCTTAGCTAACTAGCCTAGAGAGGTTCGTTGAGTATTAGAACATCTTTGTATTAAGTGTCTGGGCTGCAGGAAACAAAATACCGCGCGAGCTGGAGGTTCCCTTTCAGAGCTAGGTAGGAGATGACGTCACACGGCGTACAGGAGTTCGGCTTCTCTCCAAACCTGTCAGACCTGTGTGTGAATATTCTAACTCAAGTGTATTAAATGCTGTTGTACTGGCCCAACAAATGAAGACTGCACGGTGCCATCGGGTGGTTGTGTGTGTCAATAGCTCAGAGGTTACGCCAACCAGAACTGGCACAGCTGATTTTCCCCTCTGACTTGGGAGAGAAAAAAAAGAAGCCACGTCTTTATTCAACTCTACATGAAAGAAGAACAAACATCAGCAGAAAGTAACCGAAACACCACCATGGGATCAGTGCAGTGACTCAGCTGAAGGTTTACCAGCTGTCCATTCCATACAGTGTTAGTCGCTCGGGTAATGAGACCTATAGCGCATGCGCATACAAACACAAACACACACACACTTCTGCTGCTTAGTCACCTAGAACATAATGGGCCTCATTTTAAATAAAATAATAATATGCCATTTAGCAGACGCTTTTATCCGAAGCGACTTACAGTCATGCGTGCATACATTTTTGTGTATGGGTGGTCCCAGGGATCGAACCCACTACCTTGGCGTTACAAGCGCCGTGCTCTACCAGTTGAGCTACAGAGGACCACACAGGAGTGTGTGTGTGTAACAGTAAAAAATAGGCCCCAACCCTGGTGTTGTGTGAAGTGCAGGTTGTGGACCATGCCAATCCTATAGGGCCACAGTCACCAGTGAACAGGCTTTTACTAACATACCTTGTTGATAGACAATAAAATGAATTGATTAGGGGAAAAAATAGTTCCACAGATTGTCAGCAGGGGGAGACGGTACATATTTATATTCATCGTCACTAGCACAGAAAAGCCCATTTAAAAAATCTCTTTGTGGTGTGTGACGCCCCTCCCACTCTGTGACGCCCCTCCCACTCTGTCTGCCGTATTCTCTCTCTTTGCTCTTGTTTCCTTATTAGGATGCCGGTGGGCGGAGTTGGGAGGGTCGTCAGCTACATGGGAAACACCTGGGCCCGGGTGTGTCCCAGGATAAATGGACCTCTTCTACATTCATTGGGGAGACTCTCTCCAGGCAGATCCTTTGATTGATTTTTGTTGTGGTAGTTTTGTGGTTTTTGGTTGTTTGCTTTGGCACCTTTCAACACCTTGCATTATTACATTTATGCATGCAAACACTCACTTACACTACTGATTACTGATTACACACACCATTGTTATTTGATTTAGTTTACTTTAGTTAATAAATATATACTTTGGGTATTCCTTGTCTCCACGGTGTCTCCCTTTTCGTTACGAACTTGAGCCGGTTCGTGACAGCGGACAAAATCAATACTTACTCTTAACAGAAATAACCGTTTTCTTTATGTACACATCTAATCTTTCTGTACAGTTAATTTGTACAAGAATGCATGCTTTATAACAACCTTACCTCTGAAATGCATTTAACAACTGAAAACACATGCATGTACACACATCTCTGGGGTGAACCAGTAAAGCAACACAATGCACCTTGGAAATAACTTCACCAGATTAAAAAGGCACTGTTTTAGAGCAGGACAGAAGAGACACTCACTCACTCACTCACTCACTCGCATGCCCTCTCTCTCTCTCTCTCTCAGAACCACACGCTCGCTCGCTCTCTCTCACCCACTCTCTCTCTCTCTGTGTCCATTAGATGAGGATCTCCACTTTGTCTGTGCCTAGTAGGAGCTGGGTTCTAGTCTTATCTACGGAGACAGAGAGAACAGTTAGCTGAAGACTGATAGTTATATGTAGAATATCAGAAGTTAGAATGAAGTTGCTGAACTAGGGTCAGATTTACATTACATTTGGAGAGGGTTCACTGATCCTTGATTGTTCAGTCTCAGCTGTCACTCACCTGTCCTCTGGGTCCTGGCCAATCCCAGCCAGGCTCTGCTGGGGAGGGGCAGGACTTTGAGGGTCTCTGAACCTTTGTCAGTCTGAGTGCTGCTGTCTCTACTGCCCGTCTTAGAATGGGAGGACAGGAGAGGAGTGGAGGGGGAGGGAGGAGGAGAGAGGGAGGGTAGAGGAGAAAGGGAGGGTGGAGGAGGAATGAGAAGGTGTAATGGAGTAGCGGAGGGAGAGAGCCGAGGGTGGGAGAGAGGATGAGGTAGATAAAGAGGAAGGTGGGGAAGAGATTAAGGGGAGGGATGGGAGGAGGTTTCTCTCTTTCCTCTCGTCTGTCTGAGAAGCTTGTCGTGGGTGCAGTCCTGTTGCTAAGGAGATGGAGGGGGTGGAGCGGGCAGGGCAGAGGGCGCTGAGGTCACGGCGAGAGTTCCGCTGCTGTAAAACCTTTATCATCGCATCCCTCCCTTATACTGTACACACACACACAGAAAACAGAACCTTGATCCTATTTTCTGAACCAATACACATCCCTATCCTCAAGGGTCTTTTCCTGGTTAAATAAATCAACAATTAGGACACCTTTTAGACAAGTTCAGTCACTTTGATTGTGTGTGTGTGTGTACCTGTGCTCCATGTTATTGCAGCGTCTGGTAGCCTGCTGTACACTGTTCCCCCCTGCCACAGTGTACAGCCCATCATCTCACTGTAGCTACCACTGTGAGAGTGTACCACCAGGGTGTCCCTACCAACACACAAAGGAATATTCAAATGTTCAGTTGGATGAGTGTGTGTACATCAAATCAAATGTTATTTGTCACAGTTGGTAATCAACAGGTGTAGACTAACAGTGAAACGCTTACTTGGGGGCCCTTCCCAACAATGCATGGAGAAATAGAGACTCTGTAGCGCGTTGTGGTCGATAGCGGTGATGCAGCCAGTCAAGATGCTCTCAATGGTGCAGCTGTAGAACTTTTTGAGGATCTGAGGGAACCATGACAAATCTTCTTCACAACTGTGTTGGTGTGTGTGGACCACGTACATTCTTTAGTGATGTGAACACCTCTCAACCCGCTCCACTACAGCCCCGTCGATGTGGATGGGGGGGTGTACTCGGCCCTCCGTTTCCTGTAGTCGACGTTCAGCTCCTTTGTATTGCTGACGTGGAGGGAGAGGTTGTTGTCCTGGCACCACACTTCCAGGTCTCTGACCTCCTCCCTATAGGCGGTCTCATCGTGGTTGGCGATCAGGCCTACCACCGTCGTGTCGTCAGCAAACTTAATGATGGTGTTGGAGTTGTGCTTGGCCACGCAGTACAGGAGGGGACTAAGCACGCACCCCTGAGGAGCCCCTGTGTTGAGGGTCAGCATGGCGGATGTGTTGTTACCTACCCTTACCACCTGGGGGCGGCCCATCAGGAAGTCCAGGATCAAGTTGCAGAGGGAGGTGTTTAGTCCCAGGGTCCTTAGCTTAGTGATGAGCTTTGAGGGTACTATGGTGTTGAACGCTGAGCTGTAGTCGATGAACAGCAAGTTCCTCTTGTCCAGGTGGGAGAGGGCTGTGTGGAGTGCAATAGAGATTGCATTTACATTACATTTACATTTACATTTTAGTCATTTAGCAGACGCTCTTATCCAGAGCGACTTACAGGAGCAATTAGGGTTAAGTGCCTTGCTCAAGGGCACATTTACGTCATTTAGCAGACGCTCTTATCCAGAGCGACTCACCACCCTATAGCCAGTGGGATAATCACTTTACAAATTTTTTTTTGGGGGGGGGGGGGTAGAAGGATTACTTTATCCTATCCCAGGTATTCCTTAAAGAGGTGGGGTATTGCGTCATCTGTGGATCTGTTGGGGTGGTATGAGAATTGGAGTGGGTCCAGGGTATCTGGGATGATGGTGTTGATGTGAGCCAAAACCATGACCAGCCTTTCAAAGTATTTTATAGCTACAGCTGTGAGTGCTACGGTGCGGTAGTCTTTAGACAGGTTACCTTGGCGTTCTTGGGCACAGGGACTATGGTGGTCTGCTTGAAACATGTACATAGCTATTACAGACTGGGTCAGGGAGATGTTGAAATTATCAGTGAAGACATTTGCCAGCTGGTCAGCGCATGCTCCGAGTACGCATCCTGGTAATTTGTCTCGTGGCTTTGTGAATGTTAACCTGTTTAAAAGGTCTTACTCACATCAGCTACGGAGAGCGAGATCACACAGTCGTCCGGAACAGCTGGTAGAATTAATTTAGCTCGTCTGGTAGGCTCGAGTCGCGTCACTGGGCAGATCGCGGCTGGATTTCCCTTTGTAATCCGTGATAGTTTGCAAGCCCTGCCACATCCGACGAGTGTCAGAGCCGGTGTAGTAGGACTCGATCTAAGTCCTGTATTGACGCTTTTGCTTGTTTAATGGCTCGTCGGTGGTCGTAGCGGGATTTCTTATAAGCGTCCGGATTAGCGTCCCACTCCTTGAAAGCGGTAGCTCTAGCCTTTAGCTCAGTGCGGATGTCGCCTGTTATCCATGGCTTCTGTTTGGGATGTGTACGTAGGGTCACTGTGGGGACGACGTCGTCGATGCAGTTATTAATGAAGCCGGTGACTGATGTGGTAAACTCCTCAATGTTATCGGTTGAATCCCGGAACATATTCCAGTCTGTGCTAGCGAAACAGTCCTGTAGCTTAGCATCCGCTTCATCGGACCACTTCCTGTTTTTCTTGTAAGCAGGAATCAGGAGGATAGTGTTATGGTCAGATTTGCCAAAGGGAGGGCGAGGGAGAGCCTTGTATGCGTTTCTGTGTGTGGAGTAAAGGTGATCTAGTAAAGGTGATCTAGTAAAGGTGATCTAGTAAAGGTGATCTAGTAAAGGTGATCTAGTAAAGGTGATCTAGAATTTTGGCAACTCTAGTTGCCCAGGTGACATGCTGGTAAAAATGAGTTTAAAACGGATTTCAGTTTCCCTGCATTAAAATCCCCGGCCACGAGAAGCGCCGCCATTGGATGTGTATTTTCTTGTTTACTTATGGCCCTATACAGCTGGTTGAGTGCAGTCTTAGTGCCAGCATCAGTTTGTGGTGGTAAATAGACGGCTACTGTCACACCCTGGCTCTGGGACTCTATATGTTGAGCCAGGGTGTGTTCATTCTATGTGTTAGATTTCTATGTTGGTAGTTCTAGTTGTGTTTATTTCTATGTTGGCTAGAGTGACTCCCAATCAGAGGCAACGAGTGTCAGCTGTCGTTGGTTGTCTCTGATTGGGAGCCATATTTATACTGTCTATTTTCCCTTTGTGTTTGTGGGTTCTTGTCCCGTGTTGGTCATTGTTACCGAGGACGTTACGAGTCGTTTGTTGTTTTGTTGGTTGTGTATGTTATCACTGAAGATAATAAATACCATGTTCGTTCAACACGCTGCGCATTGGTCTCTCCCTGACGATCGTGACAGAAGAACCCACCAAGTAAGGACCAAGCAGCGTGTCCCGGGGCAGAACTTGGACTGGACATGGGAGGAAGCGCCGGGAAAGGCCCTGGCGAAAGAGGAGCAGCGGCGTCAGCAGTGTCAACGTCGGACAGGCGAGAGGCAACCCCAGAATTTTTTTAGGGGGGGGGGCACACGGCATGGACGACGGGGCTGACGGAGGCAGAAAAGGGGCGGATTCAGAAGGCCACCAGGTTACGGGGGCCACTGGTCAAAGCAGGGAAGGAAGGTGTAGAGGCACGGCGAGAGGTACTGGGGTGTGTTACCAGTCCGGTCCGGCCCGTTCCAGATCCCGAGGTAGAGCCAGTGGTGTGTGTCCCCAGTACGGTCCGGCCTGTCCCTGGTCCTCGCACCAAGCCTACGGTGTGCGTCGCCAGCCCAGTCCGGCCTGTCTCTGCTCCACGCACCAAGCCTACGGTGTGCGTCGCCAGCCCAGTCCGGCCTGTCCCTGCTCCACGCACCAAGCCTACGGTGTGCGTCGCCAGCCCGGTCCGGCCTGTCCCTGCTCCACGCACCAAGCCTACGGTGTGCGTCGCCAGCCCAGCCCGGCCTGTCCCTGCTCCACGCACCAAGCCTACGGGGTGCGTCGCCAGCCCAGCCCGGCCTGTCCCTGCTCCACGCACCAAGCCTACGGTGTGCGTCGTCAGCCTGGTAAGGCCCGTTCCTCCTCCACGCACCAAGCCAGGGGTGCGAGTCGTCAGCCTGGTAAGGCCCGTTCCTCCTCCACGCACCAAGCCAGGGGTGCGCGTTGTCAGTCCAGCACAACCCGTGCCTGGGTCACCGGTGCCTGGTAAGGTACCGGTCAACTGCTCCACTACGGAGCTGAAGCTAACCGCTCCTGCTAAGTCCAGTTCAGCTCCAGCCAGCGGGGCCAGACTGGACCAGGGGCGCTATGGGGGGTTTATTGGAGGGTGGTGGGCAAGGCCGGAGCCAGAACCGCCGCCGAGGAGGTATGCCCACCCAGCCCTCCCCTGTTTTGTTCAAGTTGAGGCGCGGTCGCAGTCCGCGCCTTTAGGGGGGGGTACTGTCACACCCTGGCTCTGGGACTCTATATGTTGAGCCAGGGTGTGTTCATTCTATGTGTTTATTTCTATGTTGGTAGTTCTGTTGTGTTTATTTCTAGGTTGGCCAGAGTGACTCCCAATCAGAGGCAACGAGTGTCAGCTGTCGTTGGTTGTCTCTGATTGGGAGCCATATTTAAACTGTCTGTTTTCCCTTTGTGTTTGTGGGTTCTTGTTCCGTGTTGGTCATTGTTACCGAGGACGTTACTAGTCGTTTGTTGTTTTGTTGGTTGTGTATGTTATCACTGAAGATAATAAATACCATGTTCGTTCAACACGCTGCACATTGGTCTCTCCCTGACGATCGTGACAGAAGAACCCACCATACCAGGACCAAGCAGCGTGTCCAGGAGCAGGCAGCCTGGACATGGGAGGAGATATTGGACGGGAAAGGGTCCTGGACCTGGGAAGAAATCCTAGCCGGGATGGATCGCCGGCCATGGAGTGAGACTGTAGAGAGGCGACGGAGAGAGGAGCAACGGCGTGATCAGGGTCGTCGTCGGACGGTCGAGAGGCAACCCCAAATAATTTTTAGGGGGGGGCACAGGGCATGGACGACGGGGCTGACGGAGGCAGAAAAGGGGCGGATTCAGAAGGCCACCAGGTTACGGGGGCCACTGGTCAAAGCAGGGAAGGAAGGTGTAGAGGCACGGCGAGAGGTACTGGGGTGTGTTACCAGTCCGGTCCGGCCCGTTCCAGATCCCGAGGTAGAGCCAGTGGTGTGTGTCCCCAGTACGGTCCGGCCTGTTCCGGCCCCTCGCACCAACTGTACGGTGAGCGTCGCCAGCCCGGTCCGGCCTGTCCCTGCTCCTCGCACCAAGCCTACGGTATGCGTCGCCAGCCCGGTCCGGCCTGTCCCTGCTCCACGCACCAAGCCTACGGGGTGCGTCGTCAGCCCAGTCCGGCCTGTTCCTGCTCCACGCACCAAGACTACGGTGTGCGTCGCCAGCCCAGTCCGGCCTGTCCCTGCTCCACGCACCAAGCATACGGTGTGCGTCGCCAGCCCAGTCCAGCCTGTCCCTGGTCCACGCACCAAGCCTACGGTGTGCGTCGCCAGCCTGGTAAGGCCCGTTCCTCCTCCACGCACCAAGCCTACGGTGCGCGTCGCCAGCCCGGCCCGGCCTGTCCCTGCTCCACGCACCAAGCCTATGGTGCGCATCGTCAGCCCGGCCCGGCCTGTTCCTGCCACTCGTACCAAGTCTACGGTGCGCGTCGCCAGCCCGGCCCGGCCTGTCCCTGCTCCACGCACCAAGCCTACGGTGTGCATTGTCAGCCCGGCCCGGCCTGTTCCTGCCACTCGCACCAAGTCTACGGTGCGCGTCGCCAGCCCGGCCCGGCCTGTCCCTGCTCCACGCACCAAGCCTATGGTGCGCATCATCAGCCCGGCCCGGCCTGTTCCTGCCACTCGCACCAAGTCTACGGTGCGCGTCGCCAGCCCGGCCCGGCCTGTTCCTGCCACTCGCACCAAGTCTACGGTGCGCGTCGCCAGCCCGGCCCGGCCTGTTCCTGCCACTCGCACTAAGCCAGGGGTGCGAGACGTCAGCCTGGTAAGGCCCGTTCCTCCTCCACGCACCAAGCCAGGGGTGCGAGTCGTCAGCCTGGTAAGGCCCGTCCCTCCTCCACACACCAAGCCAGGGGTGCGAGTCGTCAGCCTGGTAAGGCCCGTTCCTCCTCCACGCACCAAGCCAGGGGTGCGAGTCGTCAGCCTGGTAAGGCCCGTTCCTCCTCCACGCACCAGGCCAGGGGTGCGCGTCGTCAGCCTGGTAAGGCCCGTTCCTCCTCCACGCACTAAGCCCGGGGTGCGCGTCGTCAGTCCAGCACAACCCGTGCCTGGGTCACCGGTGCCTGGGAAGGTACCGGTCAACTGCTCCACTACGGAGCTGAAGCTAACCGCCCCTGCTACGTCCAGTTCAGCTCCAGCCAGCGGGGCCAGACTGGACCAGGGGCGCTATGGGGGGTTTATTGGAGGGTGGTGGTCAAGGCCGGAGCCAGAACCGCCACCGAGGAGGTATGCCCGCCCAGCCCTCCCCTGTTTTGCTCTAGTTGAGGCGCGGTCGCAGTCCGCGCCTTTAGAGGGGGGTACTGTCACACCCTGGCTCTGGGACTCTATATGTTGAGCCAGGGTGTGTTCATTCTATGTGTTAGATTTCTATGTTGGTAGTTCTAGTTGTGTTTATTTCTATGTTGGCTAGAGTGACTCCCAATCAGAGGCAACGAGTGTCAGCTGTCGTTGGTTGTCTCTGATTGGGAGCCATATTTATACTGTCTATTTTCCCTTTGTGTTTGTGGGTTCTTGTTCCGTGTTGGTCATTGTTACCGAGGACGTTACGAGTCGTTTGTTGTTTTGTTGGTTGTGTATGTTATCACTGAAGATAATAAATACCATGTTCGTTCAACACGCTGCGCATTGGTCTCTCCCTGACGATCGTGACAGCTACGAAAAATATAGATGAAAACTCTCTTGGTAAATAGTGTGGTCTACAGCTTATCATGAGGTATTCTAACTCAGGCGAGCAGAAATGTGAGATCGCACACAAGCTGTTTTTAACAAAGAGACACACCCCTCCCACCCATCTTACCTGAGGCTGCCGACCGTTCTTGGCAATGCATGGAAAAACCAGCGAGATGTACACTGCTCAAAAAAATAAAGGGAACACTTAAACAACACAATGTAACTCCAAGTCAATCACACTTCTGTGAAATCAAACTGTCCACTTAGGAAGCAACACTGATTGACAATACATTTCACATGCTGTTGTGCAAATGGAATAGACAACAGGTGGAAATTATAGGCAATTAGCAAGACACCCCCAATAAAGGACTGGTTTTTCAGGTGGTGACCACAGACCACTTCTCAGTTCCTATGCTTCCTGGCTGATGTTTTGGTCACTTTTGAATGCTGGCGGTGCTTTCACTCTAGTGGTAGCATGAGACGGAGTCTACAACCCACACAAGTGGCTCAGGTAGTGCAGCTCATCCAGGATGGCACATCAATGCGAGCTGTGGCAAGAAGGTTTGCTGTGTCTGTCAGCGTAGTGTCCAGAGCATGGAGGCGCTACCAGGAGACAGGCCAGTACATCAGGAGACGTGGAAGAGGCCGTAGGAGGGCAACAACCCAGCAGCAGGACTGCTACCTCCACCTTTGTGCAAGGAGGAGCAGGAGGAGCACTGCCAGAGCCCTGCAAAATGACCTCCAGCAGGCCACAAATGTGCATGTGTCTGCTCATGAAACAGACTCCATGAGGGTGGTATGAGGGCCCGACGTACACAGGTGGGGGTTGTGCTTACAGCCCAACACCGTGCAGGACGTTTGGCATTTGCCAGAGAACACCAAGATTGGCAAATTCGCCACTGTCGCCCTGTGCTCTTCACAGATGAAAGCAGGTTCACACTGAGCACGTGACAGACGTGACAGAGTCTGGAGACGCCGTGGAGAACGTTCTGCTGCCTGCAACATCCTCCAGCATGACCGGTTTGGCGGTGGGTCAGTCATGGTGTGGGGTGGCATTTCTTTGGGGGGCCGCACAGCCCTCCATGTACTCGCCAGAGGTAGCCTGACTGCCATTAGGTACCGAGATGAGATCCTCAGACCCCTTGTGAGACCATATGCTGGTGCGGTTGGCCCTGGGTTCCTTCTAATGCAAGACAATGATAGACCTCATGTGGCTGGAGTGTGTCAGCAGTTCCTGCAAGAGGAAGGCATTGATGCTATGGACTGGCCCGCCCGTTCCCCAGACCTGAATCCAATTGAGCACATCTGGGACATCATGTCTCGCTCCATCCACCAACGCCACGTTGCACCACAGACTGTCCAGGAGTTGGCGGATGCTTTAGTCCAGGTCTGGGAGGAGATCCCTCAGGAGACCATCCGCCACCTCATCAGGAGCATGCCCAGGCGTTGTAGGGAGGTCATCTAGGCACGTGGAGGCCACACACACTACTGAGCCTAATTTTGACTTGTTTTAAGGACATTACATCAAAGTTGGATCAGCCTGTAGTGTGGTTTTCCACATTAATTTTGAGGGTGACTCCACATCCAGACCTCCATGGGTTGATAAATTTGATTTCCATTGATAATTTTTGTGTGATTTTGTTGTTAGCACATTCAACTATGTAAAGAAAAAAGTATTTAATAAGATTATTTCATTCATTCAGATCTAGGATGTGTTATTTTAGTGTTCCCTTTATTTTTTTGAGCAGTGTATATTATCCATGTCCTTGTTCAGCCACGATCAGAGAAACATAGAACATAACAGTTCTTCAGATCCCGTTGACAGGATAGTCTCGAACGGAGCTTGTCCAGTTTGTTCTCTAGTGACTGTATGTTTGCCAACAGAACGGAGGGTCGAGGCGGTTTATTTGCTCGCCAACGTAGTCTCTTCAGGATACCGTCTCATGTGCCTCTTTTGCGCCGTCGCTTCCTCTTTCGAGTCCCGAGGATCAGGGCCTGGTCCGGAGTAATGAGTCCCGAGGATCAGGGCCTGGTCCGGAGTAATGAGTCCCGAGGATCAGGGCCTGGTCCGGAGTAATGAGTCCCGAGGATCAGGGCCTGGTCCGGAGTAATGAGTCCCGGGGATCAGTGCCTGGTCCGGAGTAATGAGTCCCGGGGATCAGTGCCTGGTCCGGAGTAATGAGTCCCGAGGATCAGTGCCTGGTCCGGAGTAATGAGTCCCGGGGATCAGGGCCTGGTCCGGAGTAATGAGTCCCGGGGATCAGGGCCTGGTCTGGAGTAATGAGTCCCGAGGATCAGTGCCTGGTCCGGAGTAATGAGCCCCGGGGATCAGGGCCTGGTCCGGAGTAATGAGTCCCGGGGATCAGGGCCTGGTCTGGAGTAATGAGTCCCGAGGATCAGTGCCTGGTCCGGAGTAATGAGCCCCGGGGATCAGGGCCTGGTCTGGAGTAAGCAGACCATCCAGAGCTGCCGACTCGTTGAAGTAGAAATATTCATCCAAAACGAGGTTAGTGATCTCCAGAAGTTGTTTTCAGTCAGATTAAGATCAGTGTAAAAACAGGTCAAGCCAATGTAAAACAGCTGCTATCCACTGCAGCGCCATCTCTACCCTTCTCTACCTATGTGTATGAGAGTGTGTGTGTGTACCTGTGTGGGTTGGCTGTAGCAGCAGTCTCCATGTTAAAGTGTCTCATGGCGTTCTCCTGCAGGTACTTCTGTTCCCAGCCTCTAGAGCCAGCTCCCTCAGAGCTGGGGCACTGCCCTCCCCTACACCCCCACACACACCTGGCCCAGAGGTCCCACACACACTCTGAGGGGAGGAGAGAGAAGCAGAGGAAGAAGGAAGCGACAGATGGAGAAATTAAAACGCAGTTTTAGCCAATACAGACATTGTTATGACACCCGCTATGACAGCGTTGTGTGGTACCTGTTGCGTGTGCAGTGTGTAGCTCTCTCTCCAGCCGTGTGCGCAGGCGTCTCTCCAGCTGCTCTCTCTTCTCATACGCCGTCTGCAACTGCACCACAGCATGCTGCAACCCTTCCACACGCCGTCTGCAACTGCACCACAGCATGCTGCAACCCTTCCACACGCCGTCTGCAATTGCACCACAGCATGCTGCAACCCTTCCACACGCGCCGCATACACACACTTCACACGCAGCTACACACACACACACACAGGAATGGACATAGATACAGTATGTTGGTTTGATCTGGATGTGTATGGTGTGTGAATAAGTGTCTGAAGGAGTGATGTGATATAATGTGATGTGATGTAATGTGACGTGATGTAATGTGACGTGATGTAATGTGATGTGACTTAATGTGACGTGATGTAATGTGATGTAATGTGACGTGATGTGATGTGACGTAATGTAATGTGACGTGATGTAATGTGATGTAATGTGATGTAATGTGACATGATGTAATGTGATGTAATGTGATGTGATGTAATGTGATGTGATGTAATGTGACGTGATGTAATGTGACGTGATGTAATGTGACGTGATGTAATGTGATGTAATGTAATGTAATGTGATGTGATGTAATGTAATGTGACGTGATGTAATGTGATGTGATGTAACGTGATGTGATGTAATGTGACGTGATGTAATGTAATGTAATGTAATGTGACGTGATGTGATGTGACGTGATGTAATGTAATGTAATGTAATGTGACGTGATGTGATGTAATGTAATGTAATGTGACGTGATGTAATGTGACGTGATGTGACGTGATGTGATGTGATGTGATGTGACGTGATGTAATGTGACGTGATGTAATGTGACGTGATGTAATGTGATGTAATGTAATGTGACGTGATGTGATGTAATGTAATGTAATGTGACGTGATGTAATGTGACGTGATGTAATGTGACGTGATGTGATGTAATGTGACGTGATGTAATGTGACGTGATGTAACGTGATGTGATGTAACGTGATGTGATGTAACGTGATGTAATGTAATGTGATGTAATGTGATGTAACGTGATGTAATGTGATGTGATGTAATGTAATGTGATGTAATGTGATGTAACGTGATGTGATGTGATGTAATGTGATGTAATGTAACGTGATGTGATGTAATGTGATGTGATGTAATGTAATGTAATGTGATGTGATGTGATGTGATGTATACCTCCTCCTCTAGGTGTAGAGCTCTCTGCTGGGCGCTGCTCAGAGCTGACTCCAGTCTCTCTCCCTCTGCTGCTGCTCCTCCACCTCCTCCTCCAAACGCTCTTTCTCTATCAGTCCATCCCCTGAGAGACAGAGAGAGACAGAGAGAGAGAGAGAGACAGAGAGAGAGAGACAGAGAGAGAGAGAGAGACACAGAGAGAGAGACAGAGAGAGAGAAGGGAAATAGAAAAGAGAAGAAAGGCTCAAATCAGACTTGCTAACTAAACCTTTAAAGTTAGAATGAGAGAACCCAATACTCCTCATGACTGGAATGTTCAGAGGCAGCCAGCTCTAAAGTTGGCCAAAATCTAGGTAGGGGTGGACATGTGTTGGGTGGGGGAGGGAGGGAGGGATAAGGGGGGTTAGTGGAATCTGCTGAGGCGGCATTCCCAGCACAGACCAAATCATTCCCCTTTGTCTCTGGGATATCATGTCCCACACATGCAGGAGGAGGGGAGAGAGACAGGTGTGTGTAAAGGGAAGAGGGGAGGAGGTGGGGTGCAGAGCATTTGGGTAGTTTGTGTGTGTGGGGAGCGACACGTTGAAAGAGCACCTGTCCTAAAACTGCTGTAAGAGATCTTGCCTTTCGGCCTGCCCCTCTCTTTATCTCTCCCTCCCCACTCTATCCCTCATTCCTGGTGTTACATACCAGACAGCACAGTGAAATACAACAAACACTTCCTCTCCTCTCTCATGGCGCCCAGAGAGAGAGAGACAGAGAGAGAGAGACATAGAGAGAGAGAGAGAGAGAAAAAGGTGGTAGTCAGGAGGAGAAAGTTCTCTCTGTTCCTCTCTGTTTGGGTTTCCAGGCCAGACGAGGTCACTGTCTGTATTCACACTGACTCTCTAATAAAAGTGTGTGTGTGTCCGTGCGTGTGTCATGTGTGACTAAAAGGAAATTATAGTTTCTGAGGTGGAAGTTGGGAGAGTTATATTTGGGTGTTGTGGTGAGGGATGCCCCGCTCTCTCCTTTCCCAGATGTTTAGTTCATTTCATTCCGATCTCCTTTGCATTATTGTAGCCATTTTCTACTATGCCTCTGTCTATCCCTGTTCTCTCCTCTCCGCACAGGCTATACAAACGCCTCACACCGCGTGGCTGCTGCCTCTCTAACCTGTGGTCCCTGCACGCACCACCCACGTGGAGTTCCAGGTCTCCGGCAGCCTCTGGAACTGCCGTTCTGCTACCAACAAGGCAGAGTTCATCTCAGCCTATGCTACCCTCCAGTCCCTCGACTTCTTGGCACTGACGGAAATATGGATTACCACTGAAAACACTGCTACTCCTACTGCTCTCTCCTCGTCTGAACATGTGTTCTCGCATACCCCGAGAGCATCTGGTCAGCGGGGTGGTGGCACAGGAATCCTTATCTCTCCCAAGTGGACATTCTCTATTTTTCCCCTGACCCATCTGTCTATCTCCTCATTTGAATTCCATGCTGTCACAGTCACTAGCCCATTTAAGCTTAACATCCTTGTCATTTATCGCCCTCCAGGTTCCCTTGGAGAGTTCATCAATGAGCTTGACGCCTTGATAAGTTCCTTTCCTGAGGATGGCTCACCCCTCACAGTTCTGGGGGACTTCAACCTCCCTACGTCTACCTTTGACTCATTTCTCTCTGCCTCCTTCTTTCCACTCCTCTCCTCTTTTGACCTCACCCTCTCACCGTCCCCCCCTACTCACAAGGCAGGCAATACGCCTGACCTCATCTTTACTAGATGCTGTTCTTCTACTAATCTCACTGCAACTCCCCTCCATGTCTCCGACCACTACTTTGTATCCTTTTCTCTCTTGCTCTCCTCCAACACTACTCACTCTGCCCATACTCAGATGGTATTGCGCCGTCGCAATCTTCGCTCTCTCTCTCCCGCTACTCTCTCCTCTTCCATCCTATCATCTCTTCCCTCTGCTCAATCCTTCTCCCTCCAATCTCCTGATTCTGCCTCCTCAACCCTCCTCTCCTCCCTTTCTGCATCCTTTGACTCTCTATGTCCCCTATCCTCCCGGCCGGCTCAGTCCTTCCCTCCAGCTCCGTGGCTTGATGACTCATTGCGAGCTTACAGAACAGGGCTCCGGGCAGCCGAGCGGAAATGGAGGAAAACTAGACTCCTGCGGACCTGGCATCTTTTCACTCCCTCCTCTCTACATTTTCTTCATCTGTTTCTGCTGCTAAGGCCACTTTCTATCACTCTAAATTCCAAGCATCTGCCTCTAACCCTAGGAAGCTCTTTGCCACCTTCTCCTCCCTGCTGAATCCTCCTCCCCCCCCTCCTCCCTCTCTGTGGATGACTTCGTCAACCATTTTGAAAAGAAGGTTGACGACATCCGATCCTCGTTTGTTAAGTCAAATGACACTGCTGGTCCTGCTCACACTGCCCTACCCTATGCTTTGACTTCTTTCTCCCCTCTCTCTCCAGATAAAATCTTGCGACTTGTGACGGCCGGCCGCCCAACAACCTGCCCGCTTGACCCTATCCCCTCCTCTCTTCTCCAGACCATCTCCGGTGATCTTCTCCCTTACCTCACCTCGCTGATCAACTCATCCTTGACCGTTGGCTATGTCCCTTCCGTCTTCAAGAGAGCGAGAGTTGCACCCCTTCTCAAAAAACCAACACTCGATCCCTCTGATGTCAACAACTACAGACCAGTATCCCTTCTTTCTTTTCTCTCCAAAACTCTTGAGCGTGCCGTCTTTAACCAACTCTCTTGCTATCTCTCTCTCAGAATGACCTTCTTGATCCAAACCAGTCAGGTTTCAAGACTGGTCATTCAACTGAGACTGCTCTTCTCTGTGTCACGGAGGCTCTCTGCACTGCTAAAGCTAACTCGCTCTCCTCTGCTCACATCCTTCTAGACCTATCAGCTGCCTTTGATACTGTGAACCATCAGATCCTCATCTCCACCCTCTCCGAGTTGGGCATCTCCGGCGCGGCTCACTCTTGGATTGCGTCCTACCTCACAGGTCGCTCCTACCAGGTGGCGTGGCGAGAATCTGTCTCCGCACCACGTGCTCTCACCACTGGTGTCCCCCAGGGCTCAATTCTAGGCCCTCTCCTATTCTCTCTATACACCAAGTCACTTGGCTCTGTCATATCCTCACATGGTCTCCTATCATTGCTACGCAGACGACACACAATTAATCTTCTACTTTCCCCCTTCTGATAACCAGGTGGCGAATCGCATATCTGCATGTCTGGCAGACATATCAGTGTGGATGATGGATCACCACGGGTCAAAACACACTTTAGAGGAAAGCTTGAGTTCTCAGACTGAAAAGAGCTATCAATTGATAACGGAGCTGCTCTTCCTCCCGGGGAAGGACTGCCCCTCCATGATCTCACCATCACGGTTGACAACTCCGTTGTGTCCTCCTCCCAGAGTGCAAAGAACCTTGGCGTGACCCTGGACCTTGAGAACACCCTGTCGTTCTCCGCTAACATCAAAGCGGTGACCCAATTCTGTAGGTTCATGCTCTACAACATTTGCAGAGTATGACCCTACCTTACACAGGAAGCGGCACAGGTCCTAATCTAGGCACTTGTCATCTACCGTCTGGATTACTGCAACTCGCTGTTGGCTGGGCTCCCTGCCTGTGCCATTGAACCCCTACAACTCATCCAGAACGCTGCAGCCTGTCTGGTGTTCAACCTTCCCAAGTTCTCTCATGTCACCCCGCTCCTCCGCACACTCCACTGGCTTCCAGTTGAAGCCCGCATATGCTACAAACCATGGTGCTTACCTACGGAGCTGTGAGGGGAACTGCACCTCCGTACCTTCAGGCTCTGATCAGTCCCTACACCCAAACGAGGGCATTGCGTTCATCCACCTCTGGCCTGCTGGCCCCCCTACCTCTGCGGAAGCACAGTTCCCGCTCAGCCCAGTCAAAACTGTTC